ATGGCGGCGGAGGCGGCGGTCCCGCGCGTTCCCCAACAGCGGCGGCGGGGGCGCGGGGGCGCCGTCGGGTACGGTCCCCGTGCTCTTCTGCTTCTCGGTCTTCGCGCGGCCCTCGTCCGTGCCCCACGGCGCGGGCTACGAGCTGCTCATCCAGAAGTTCCTCAGCCTGTACGGCGACCAGCTCGACATGCACCGCAAATTCGTGGTGCAGCTCTTCGCGGAGGAGTGGGGCCAGTACGTGGACCTGCCCAAGGGCTTCGCGGTGAGCGAGCGCTGCAAGGTGCGCCTCGTGCCGCTGCAGATCCAGGTGGGTCCCGCCGCCGCCGCGCCCGGTCCCCGCGCGCCCGGCCCCCGCCGCGCTCCTCAGGTGCCCCGCGCCGCGCCGCCTGGGAAGGGCCGGTCGCTCTCGCCCGCGGCGGGGACGCCCCCGGGCATGTGCCGGTGCAGAGGTGACGGTCGCCAGCTGCCCTGGGCAGGGCGGGGGCGGGGGCCTCCCCGTTTGGTGGGCCGCGCGCGATCGCCCCCACGTGTGTGGCCCTTCGGCCCGCCCGCAGCCGCCGGGTGCGCCGGGAGCGAGTCCCAGCCTCCCCGCGGAGCCCAGGGCTGGGCGGTGGTGGCCGTGCTTTTATTTGGGGGTGATGCATTGTAGGGATTACTGGCCTCCGGGTGTGTTCCCCGGAGTTGTGTTCACCACTTGCGGAAGCACAAAACTTTAGGAGTCAGACCTCCTCCTCCTCCTCTTCCCCCGCTTTCGGGTTCCTGACCTGAAGCCTCCCCTGACCCAAGTGAAATAGCCCTGTGCTTACCCTCTTCCCTGGAGCTGTCAGCTGAACCTGCTGGTTACACATGCGTCGGCTCCATTAAAAATGTCGGATTGACCCTCTTAAATGCAACTTTAGCAAGACCATGATTTCCTGGTCATGATGACTCGGAAAGTTATTATACTGGAGGGTTATTTTATAGCTTTTTACGTTGCTTTTTTAAAAGCCACACTCTTATACAACAGGGGGTCAGTCTCCTGTCCTTTTTTTTTTTTTTTTTTTATGCTCAGAGGATTCACTGAACGATTTATATTTTTGAAAAGAAAAATATGAGGTATGGTTTAGTACTACACCATCAACATTTTTCCTTTAGTGGAGAAACCGGTAAGCCGTGTCTTCGGAAGACCACACTGAAATGTGGGGTTCGAGGGTAGAAGGCATTTTTTAATATTCAGGTGTCATTCTCTGCAGATCATTCTGTAGTTGTTTTTTTCCCGTTGTAGTCGGCTGTGGAATTGGTCTTGTTTCCTATCACCCCAGCACCTATGCCAGAAGCTTCCTAAGCAGGTGCTTGAAGCGGCCTCAAGTTCCTGTGCTCAGAGGACAAAGGCTTTGAGAGTCACTGTCACTCCTGCAGAGCCTGCAGCAAGGCAGGTGGTCTCGGACGGCTGCTGTCCACCTGGAGAATCTGGAGGCCTGTGGTTGCAGGTGTTTACCACTCCCCATTTTTATATCTTCGAGAGTTTCCATGGCATTTAGAAAAAAAACAGTCACAGGGATGCCTAATCCCTACGTTGTACCCTGAAACTAATATAATATTGTATGTCACAACTGTAACTGAAAAAGGAATTTTAAAAATTAAAATATAAAATTTTAAAAAAAGAGTTTTTGTGGCTGACCCCTCTCTGCAGCCTTCCTTGTCTATTTAGATTATTGCTGCCAAAATACCTAAGAAGTTGGATGCACCTTTGACAAATCCATTAATGAAGGCGAGAATCCAAATTCTAATGAGGAGGTCTTGGACCTGTTCTGAGGATGCAGATTCTTTGTGATGATTTCCTATATTAGTTGGAGAGGAGGGTGGGCTGTTACCTAACAGGATGTTATGCCAAACTAGCACTCCCCCCCCCCCCCCATCTGTAAGGTTTAATACCAGAGGATATTTTTTTCCATTGATTTCTGGAGACAGTGGGAGGGGGAGAGAGAGGGAGGAGGAGAGAGTAAGAAACATCAATGTGAGAGAGACATATCGATTGGTTGCCTCCCACACTGCACATTCCCCAACTGGGGCCAGGGATTGAACTTGCAACCCAGGAACATGCCCTTGACCTGAATCAAACCTGAGACCCTTTGGTATGTGGACCGACACTGTAACCATTGTATAACACCGGCCAGGGCTGACAACTCTTTTTAATTAAACATTCTTATATGTGTATACTTGAAATGTCTCGTACTTTATCCAAAGGCATTATATAATTCAGGTCACTTGTGGCTTTTGAAATATTTTGCCTGGTATAGGAGGTAACATATAGTTAATTTTTTGTGGTTATGTTTAAAGTATTGATAATAGCACTACTCTGTTTTATCCTTTGAAAAATGATTTTTCACTAAATAGCCCAAGAATTCTTTAGTATCTGTTACAAAATATTTTATATATTTTTAAATAATTAAAGACATATTATCTTCTTCTAATCATAATATTTTGACTTCTTCAGACAGGTGCCTTGAAAATAGAGAATGTGGAGGGATATACACAGATACATACATGGGCACACACTTCCCCATATATTCATGTACCTATTCTGATACCTATTTCTATCTATATGAGATGTGTGTGTGTGTGTGTGTGTGTGTGTGTGTACGCTCAGAAGGAAAATTAAGATATTTCTTTTCATAACCATTTTATGTATCTTTTGGAACACAGCAGTATAATCCTAGAGACATGGACATTTTATGCTAGAGGAGACCATAGAGTTCATTCCACGAACATTTGAGCAGTAGCTATAACTGTCTGGCACAGTGAATGTAGACATGAGTAAGGCCCAATTATCGTTCCTTACCTAATCTAACTCTTTTCATTTTGCGGAAGAGCAGAACATACAGGGACTTGTTCAAGGTTCACGGTAATGGTGAAGACAGCAAAGCATGTGAGGGTCCTCCCTTATCGCTGGCCAGAGCGTTCTTGTTCTCTTTTTATGCTTCATGAAAATATAAAGCAGAATACTCAAGTAATACCGTTTGTTTTGATGCTGTTTGTTGTTCTTTGGAATAGATGCCTGTCACTTAGGAAGACTCAAGGTAGCTGTGCTACTGGGATGGTAGACCTCTTCCTTCTCCCAGAGGCAGGGACAAAGAGCATAATGTTGGCCATATGTAGGTCACTGCTTAAATAATGTGACTTGTTATTTCTCCAGACATAGGCCTTAGCCTCCGTGGCCCTGTCTCACACACTATATATTCTAGAATGTTTTCTCCATTTACATAGGGGTTTGAGTTTGCTTTCCTGCTTGTTCTGACTGCCATTGCTTGTGCTGCACTGTCAGCACCCGTGTTTGGTGAGCGGTTTTATGGGGACTGATCTTTAAGACCCCCATTGCCAATATTAGGCTGTAGTAACTTTTTAGTGTCGTCTTTTCTGAAATACTCTGTCACAGGTAGCAAAAGACAGCTCTTGTTTCAAGCATGGTTTATGTGTCTTTAACATTGTCAATATGTTTGAAGTCCGAGGAATTTTGAGATTTGAGGGAAGAAATGTAAATGACAGGATTATGCAGTGGGAATTCAGGTCATTTTTTTTACTTAGAAGTTTTAATTTTCCAAAATGTGTTTCCCAAGTTTTAACTAATTGAAACATTCCTCTCTGGAAATGCACATGAATTTGCTATCATACCACCACCAGTGTGTTTCCCAGCTTGTCGGTGGGGAAGGCAGAGTCAGTAGAGGAGGGAAGACATGGGCCTTGTGAGAGGATTGGCTTCAGCCAGCAGGGAGGGCTCTGACAGCCTCGTGTGGGTGGGCAGGAGATAAGCTTCCCTGGGAAGGTTATTCTGACCTTGTCCTGAGATGGTTAATTGGAAAGGGATTCAGCTCCAGCTTTCACTTTCTTGGAAGTTTATTACTACTGTTATTCTCTTAAACAGGGCCATGGACAAGACAGTTCATGGCTAGACGAGAGCACAGACTTCATGGGAAGGGAGCGAAGGCAGGTCTGTAAAGCAGAGGGAAAGGCGTCTGCTCCCCCTGGGCTGGCTAGTCTGAAGGTGTGAGTTTTGAATCGGGAACGTTTACCACGGGAGCATGTAGGAGGAGCAGGTAGAAATAATTCCTTTGCAGCCTGTATTACAAAGCCCAAAACCTGTTTTGCCAGAAATAGAACATGGAATGGTAAGTCTTTTGGTGACATTGGGAAATCCACTTTACAAATCATTTGCTTAATTCTGCAGACTATGTTAACATAACAAGTTAGGCAATATGTGTGTGTGTGTGTGTGTGTGTGTGTGTGTCTGTACTTCTTAAGGGATCTTAATAATAAGTGGTATTTTTAACCTCATTACTGAAAAAGGTTTTTAAATGTGCTGAACTCCAGAGTGTAGTGTGTTTTCTAGAAGAGGGATCTCACAATAGCCTAAGACATTTATTGATTGATTACATGAAGCTCATGTAATCCTTGAACTAGCCATATGAGGTAGATACTATTTTTCTTGCTTTGTGACAGATTAATAGACTGCCATTTGGAGATGGCACTGGACTTGTCTAATTTCATGTAATTGAAATGAGAGAAATTGAGATCTGGACTCGGATTTAATCCACAAGGTGTGCTGTGTAGGGAGCCTCGTCCGGGGAGTCCCATCACACAGGCCTCTGTCTGAGTGAGTCAGTATGGGAGCAAGGTCCTACTGTGGCTGCTTAACCCGACGGCCTTGGAGACACCGCTGAGTGAAATAAGGACGCCCCGGGCCCTCTTCGGGACTCTCTCCCAAGCAGATCAGGCCTATTTTGAGCCTATAAAAAACGACCAAGTTTTTGAAAACATCACATTTACAATTCCAAACTTGACTCCTTCCTAAAGATATGAATTGTACTCGCTGTAGTACTTTGCTAGGGGGCTGCTGTGACAAAGTACCCCAGACTCAGTGGCTTATACAACAATTTATTTCTCGCATTTCTGAAGGCTAGAGATCAGGGTTGCTTCCGAGGCCGTGAAGGAGAATCCGTGCCATGCCTCTCTCCTGGCTTTTGCTGATTTGTTGGCAGCCTTTGGCCTTGCTTGGCTTATGGACACATCACCCTGATCTCTGCCTTCAGGTTCACAAGGCCTCTCTGTCCCAATTTCTCCCTTTTTATAAGGACACCAGTCATGTTGGACTAGGCCCGTGATCGGCAAACCGTGGCTCGCAAGCCACACGCGGCTCTTTGGCCCCTTCAGTGTGGCTCTTCCACAAAATACCACGTGGGGGCGCGCACGTACAGTGCGATTGAAACTTCGTGGCCCATGCGCCGAAGTAGGTATTTTGTGGCAGAGCCACACTCAAGGGGCCGAAGAGCC